AAGTATTAAAGCTTTATTATAAATAAAATATTTATCCAATTATAAATTAAATTATTAGTGAGTAAGCATATTATTTCAATTACAGTATTTAAGTAATTTCTGTATTAAATCACTAGCTAATTATAATTCGAATGAATTATCAGAGAGAGTTTTCAACCTATAAAACATGTAAATGTGGTCAAACATATCATGCAGACTATAAAGGATGATGTCAGCCATGCAATTCAAAACGTTTGCAAACTAAATTTATTTATAGCAAAAATGAAGATATTGATAAATTTCTAAGAGAAGTTTAACAAGAAGCAAAAAGCCCATATGAAGTAATGGAGTAGATTCCAAATAACAGATTACAAAACAGAAAACATATGGCTAGTGGCGGATTTGGTAAAGTAGAATCAGCTATCTGGTTGGACGGTCCAATAGATCATTGGAATGACTATTCTCAAGATTGGAAAAGACATAAATATCGCCCAATTGCTCTAAAAATCTTAAAAGAAACAACTAATTGTTAGAAGAAGTATATAATTTATTAGGCTTCAAAACTTTTATTTTATTGCTTAAATAATTACTAAACAGTTATATAAGGTCATACAAACTTAATAAATTGGTTCTCATAACCCGGCCGGGTCAAATTTCGCAAAATTCTTAAAAAAATTTTTGATTATATTTACTATCCGGGTGAGTTTTTTTAGAAGTTTATAAAAATTTTTATATGCTTTTTATATATAAAAATTTTTTGAAAATAAAATTAAAAGCCGGGTTGCCGGGTCATTTTTCAAATTTTATGTTATGAGAACCAAAAAATTAACTTTGTATGGCCTAATATAGATTAAAAAATATTTTACAATAAGCGATAAAACTTTTTTTATTTGGTTTATGGGAATTTCTAAAGATCCACAAGAAGTTTACATAATAGTAATGGAACTGGCACGGTTAGGTAGTCTTGATACATATTTAAAGAACCATTTTTACAGCATGAAATGGGAGGAAAAAATTACAGCCTTACTAGATATTAGCATGGGACTTGATCATTTACATAAAAGTGATTTAATTCATCGTGATTTTCATCCAGGAAATCTTTTATATAGTATTGGAAAAAATTTGCTTATTACAGATCTTGGTTTATGCCAGTCTGTAATCAAAACTCAGAATCAGGGCCTTATGGAAATATACCATATATTGCTCATAGAAAAAAAGCAATATACGAAAACTGATGGTGTATATTCTTTTGGATGGGTGGCCTATGAATAGGGATGGATCAGTCCTGGAAAGACTGAATAAGGATCGATCTTTATAACCGGTCTCATGATTAACCGGTCCCGGTCCTGAGACCAGTTCGGACCGGTCTTCATAAATAGCTAATTAAAAAAAATTACCGATGTTATATTATCTAATTCTCTCCGCTAGCCAATAGGATAGTTAGAGGTCGGGACCATTTCTGGGACTGAGACCGGACCAAAAAACATAATTGACCGGTCTTATTAGGACCGGACGGACTGGACCGGACTGATACATCCCTACCTATGAAATCATAGTTGGGCCTCTGCCAGTTGAATATCGCATGATAGATAATCCTAAAATTCTGAAGTATGTACCAGAACCACTTGCTAAATTAATTTGGACTGTTGGAAATAATATGCTTACTCACTAATAATTTAATTTATAATTGGATAAATATTTTATTTATAATAAAGCTTTAATACTT